TTTTCATACAAATACCATTGAGAATGGTATGAATCCATTTCACCCCCAACCAGTTATGGGTTATATAGCAGGACAGATTGGACTCTCTAATCAGGCAGAAGATGAAAAATCACAATCATTTGCAGTGTGCCTTAAATTCGAAACAGCTCTGATAAGTTTATTATTTTCAGGAATAGTTTCTCTATTTTAGCAAAATGTCTGGATGTAGACAGCACAACGGTTATCAGCGTGGAAAGTTGAAGTAGCGAGATGAGTTCAAATTCCTATCTAGCCTGTTGCACTTCATTTCTGTAGTTACGCTTTTGACAGGGGCAAGAATCTATGTCTTCTCTCCCACCTATAGGTTAAATAGCAGGATAGGTTGTGATTTGAAACATTGGGTGATAGCAAGCCAAAGAGAAGGATTATTCTGAATTCAAAAGGCAATGGGAAACCATTCCACAACCTTCCCCAAGAAATCATGCCAATTCACAGATAATAAAGAAAAGAAAGCTGTGGAGAACCATAATCCTTCTGAGTTAAATAAACAAAGAAAAGGCAACAATAAACCATTCTACTATTTTTCCAAGAAGTCATAATAAATCATGGATAAGAAAAATGAAGCTGTGGAGTGCCGTGATCTCTTTGAATTAAATGAACAAAGCGAAGGCAACGGAAAACCATTATCATAATAAAGAAAAGAAAGTTGTGGAGAGCCATGGTCCATTTGAATTTAATAAACGGGAGAAAGCAACGGTAAACTACTCGACTATCTTTCTGAAGAAGTCATGCCCGCTTACAGATAATAAAGAAAAGGAATCTGTGGAGAGCCATGATCATTTTGAATTAAATAAACGACGAGAAGGCAGTAGGAAACCACTCAACTGTCTTTCCCAAGAAGTCATGGCAATTTACACATATTAAAGAAAAGAAAGTTGGGAAACAGCCATCATTGTCCACATCCTGAAGGAACGGCCGAAACGTTGTAATAAATATGGCGACAAAGATGAGGACAATAGTCCGAATAATGTAAATCATGACAATTGACACTGCATTTCAATTTTTATTGATCAATGTTGACTGGAAAGCAAGAAGCTGAAAGAGAGTTCCACAAGCGAGAAGTGTCAAAGAAGAAACTTTTGATATAGAATTAATCTAGCAATTAAACAGTAGAATTATGAGACCTAGCTACCAATCTAGTACTGCGTTTAAATTCATAAAAAATGAGATGCCAAAGAGGAAAGCTCATCACAACAATTTCCATGAAAATATTTATAGAAAAGATGCAGCAAAGTCACGCTACGGCAGTGGGAAAGTGACTAAAGTCGATATGCCAGGACAGGACTGATAATATTGCAGATTCTTCTCTGGATTTCATCAAGCATCTCTAAATACACAGCAGAAACAACAGACCAGATGTGACAGCAATATTCAATACATGGACGAATGGTAGACTTAAATTACAGTCGGGACTTCTTGTCTCTCTTTATGTAATCGCTCGAGTGCATAAAACGCTTGAGGTATTTGTTAAATAAATCCTTCCTGTGATAACTATGGTATATATGGATCCCTAGAAAGTTGTGAGTTCGATCCCAGGTTCTGGTAGCACTGAAAGGTCATATACTGGTTCACTGAAAGAAAGGGGCACGTAACACAAAATGAATAAGGCTGGCGAGTAGCAGGAGTAAGTAGGTTTGCTTATCGTCTGGTTTACCCGGTCTCTTGAACAGGAGTAGAGGTTCATCACTTGTTTACTGTTTAGGATTAGGTTTCCGGTTCCTTCTAAAGTCTACTTCAATTCTGTCCTCCTTGCGTTTCCGCCTGAAATTTTATTCGCCAATTAAATCTTGACCTCTTCAAGTCTAAAATTAGCTGTCTATATTTTCTGTTATCTTGCCATTTCTTACGCTAATACAACTCCACACAGTAACCCTCTACCTTGAGTGGCCCTTGAGCCTTGTATTGGGTGAGTAAAAAAAAAGCTGCGTTATCTCCAATGATCTTTACCGCTTGGCTACAGAGAGTTGTGACGCCAGGCTTTTTATTTCTGGATTGAATAAAGGGTGTGGTTCATATTTTCATAAAGTTTACTGAGTACGACGATAAACACCTGAAGATGGCCGGAGGGTGTAAGGGCGGAAACGTTGTACGTATAAATATCAAAACGAGCAGGTTGGATCGAATAATACGACATATAATAGGAAGCAAACAATTAACTCTTCTAAGTCAGACTCGGTAGGACAGGACTCTGAAGACGCGATCCAAAATGAAAGCAGTGTCTTCGAATTTCAAGTTCAGAAGATCTAGAAAAAAGAAAGACTCATAATAAGAAGGAATAGGCATGGGTGGAAGTAATGGCGCACAGGACAATTTAAACTATTGCGCCTTCTCCCTGAAATTCTAGCTTTGTACGTATTTTCTCAAGCTAATTAATTTTTCGCCAACCCTAAAAATTTAATGGCCGAGGCAATCGCCCCTCTGGACCAGCCCACGCTGTACCACTGGCATGGTTGTATATTGGTCTGACCATCTGATGCCTACGCCAGACATTCTAAACCGGGGTCAATATGTACCCTGGTGGTCCATGTAGTATTACTGGGATCCACAAACAAAATAGCAAATTGGGAGTCTACGGTAATGTTTTAGTAGTTCATACAGCAATTTTACTTCGGAATGGTTGTTACAACTGAGAATTGTAATTTCTACAGTACTCTATGCCATATTAAAATACTAAAAATAGAAAATCTCTAAAACTAGCAGAAAACGTAATCAAGCGATTAAGTTAGCGTTCCTTTTTAGCCTACCAGATGCCTTGATTGTAAAAAGTTGAATAAAAACTGAGAAGGATACATAATATATATATATATATATATATATATATATATATATATATATATATATATATATATGTGTGTGTGTGTGTGTGTGTGTGTGTAAAATAAAAAAAAACAGTAAGATATATAATCCGGTGTTCTTATTGATATTTTTATTTTTACAAAATAGTGCTCAATGTAAATTTACAGAGCATTAATATTATAAATTAACTGATTTAAAATATGTTTTTTTTCGCTACACAGTAATAACCATGTTTCAAAAATGGAAGCTAAAAGCTTCAAATTTAATTAAATTTAATAAAAACATTAGTTCCATTTCATCATCAATTGAGGATGGAATGGAACTAATGTTTTATTTTAATTACACAATTAAATTTGAAGCTTTTAGCTTCCATTTTTGAAACATGGTTATTACTGTAGCGAAAAACATTTTAAATCAGTTAATTTATATATATATATATATATATATATATATATATATATATATATATATATATATATATATATATAAAATATATATATAAAATATTATATAAAGATTATAATCTATTATATAAATTAATTTAATATATTAATAATAAATAGATATTTTGATTGTAAAAGTTGAATAAAACTGAGAAGGATATATAAAGAAGGATTATATATATATATATATATATATATATATATATATATATATATATATATATATATATAAGAACATTATATAAAAATTATAATTTATTATATAAATTAATTTAATATATTAATAATAAATAACAATATTAATTTTAAGTATTAATAAAATGAAATATTAGTATATTAATATAGATTAATTAATATAAAATATATTTTTTTAAATTATTAATAATAAAATGAATTTAATATATAAATTATATAAGGATTATATATAAAGGAAGGATTAACAGTATTAACCTTTTCAGCAGCATCAACCGCAGGGATATCATCGAATAAATTTGCACTTTTTTAAATTTATTAATTACTCGCATTTTTTAAAAGGGTTTATTATTATTTATTTTACTCGTGTACATAAATGTTGCATAGAATTTAGCTGTTAAATACAAGTTTATTTTCAATAAATTAGTTTAACTTCAAAATAAAGCATACACATTCACAATTTCTATAATGCAATTACTAAACTTATGCATTAGTAAAAAAAATAAAATAAGCTTTTTTTATCGAATGGTTATGGCGGTCCATCAAAAGCAATTAAGAGTAAAAGTTGTCCATGGGTAAAAAAAAACAAAAAAAAAAACGGCTGAGAATCCGAGGGGTCCGCTACAAGTGAATATAGCGAAGCCAACTGGAATTGGAACTCGGTTCTCCGATTAGCAATTCCGAGCCATTATCCATTACACTTTTGTATTCAACTTCTACCTAATTATATTACTTTGACTCAGTTTATTGTTGTAAAATGCTTCAATTCATTTTTCATGTAATATTTCTCTTTACAACAAAATTTTGTGCAAATTAAACGCCAAGTGGATCACAGAAGCTTCGACTAAAATTCCGACTTCTGATTGGTTAATATATGTGAAAGATGTTACAACGCCTACGCAGTTGTGTTCACGGTCAATTTACCGCCAAAATCTAGTTATATGTTCTCGAAATTATCACGTAGTTCACATTAAGCATAAATACTTGGCGACATCTTCAACCCTCCTTCTTGTCTTCTCTCACCTCTCACCTACAAGTGATATAATATCAGTGAAGAAATCGCGTTTGTTCCTTATGGGAAAACGCTATGAAACGTTATGACACACACACACATACGCACACACGTACGTCCGAACATCTACGAACATTCACTCTTTCAGCCACAAGGACAGAAACACTTAATATTGTGAGTAAAGAACTATTTAATTCTCTTACAAGTAGCAATACATCTTACTAAAGTTCTCCAAAGTCACACGCTTTTTAATACGCATCACAGTTTATCAATAAGAAAATTTTCAAGTGACTTAAATAACAAATACATACTCGTCAACCAGATCTCTAAATTCACTAAATTACTGTATGTACAATTGTTGTTATGCATATATAATTTCCGTTTACTTATGCAAGTTTTCTTCTTGAGTGTTATTCTTCTTGTTTGCTTATTTCTTGTTGTCACATTTATAAAGTTAAGGTAGTACAGGCTGAATCTAGGCTATTCAACCCGCTACAACACCACCAGCACCACCCATGCTTACAACACCTGGTATTCCGAAACAGTCACCTATCTAGGTACTGACCAGGCTTGATATTGCTTAACTTCTGTAATCGGACGAGAACCGGTGTTTCAACGTGATATGGCAAAGACATATTCGCAGGTGGTCTTCTTATCGGAATAATAATTTTCAGAAATAGGGTTTTGTCTGGAAGAAATGGCTTTTCTTTGTGTGGAAAAAAAGGAACATAAATTTTTGGTCGAATCGTACCAATAGAACATTGTTAACAAACCAGTAGGCTGGGTTTTCATAAACGAAAGCGAATCGACTAAGACGCCGAGAAAAAAGAGATGGAAGGGGTCCCCTAGGACCCCTAGAAACAAGAGACGTATGCAAAACAGGGACACTAGAAGGGTTTAATGCAGTAGCAGCCGTCATCTTTTCTGTTAATTCACCGAAAATAATGTAAAGTTACTTACCGCAAATATTAATTCAGACCCCCCAAAATTATAAATTTTAAATCAAAGTTTGTTTTTTATTAACTTGTTGGCACTCTTTTGAAATTATAAATTTTAAATCAAAATTTGTTTAACTCTAACTCTCCGAATGAAAAATTACCAAATTTCATATTTCGTAAGTGCGGATGATATTCGAGATACTTATAAGGAATTTTTTACAATTTAAAAAAAAAAATTTTTTTTAATTTGTTTTTGGTTTATTTATCGAGGTGAGCGCGAACGTTCACCCCCACATTTAGAAATAGCGCACCCGAGGATTTGGGGCGATCGCGAAGGTCAATCCAATCGGAGTGCAATGGAAGGGCCTCGCTCTGGGAGAATTTGGTGTGATTTATAGTAAATATAATATTATTTTGGGGTGAATTAATATTTTGAGGTTAATTAACAAAAAAGCTCCATCCGTAAGAATAGACCACTGGATTATTACCCCGACCTTCGAAGAGTGGGTGAACAGACAGGGGCAGATGCAAGATCGAGAGTGAATAGATCAACCCAGATCGCAGTAGCAAGCTGAGGTTTCTCTCATCTAAATAAAAGTGAACTGTAACAAATGTCTGTTGTATCATCATCATCATCATCATCATCAACATATACAGAAATCAAATCCCTTCTACCGCTGTCAGGCACGAGAATTAGAGAAAGGAAAAGACGTTCTACTTTTAAAATTGGTCCGCTTCGTAACGATAAATGCTATTTGTCAGAAAACTGGATTCACCGAAATCGAATTTTTACTTCGTCGAATGGTTCACTCAGGGCCAAGCCCTCTCCCCCAATCTATGATACCCCCCCACACACACACACACAACACAGTATATAAGAAAGAAACCAGTAAAAAACGCCATTTTCACGGGTTTTCATTATATGGGTGGACTCAATTATCAAGTTAAATGACTGTTAAACAATCATTATTGTTGGCTACAACTGAGTGAAGATTGTATTAAATTGCTTGAAAATTGAGTGAGTTTTTAGTTTAATTATGCATATGATGGCGTGAACAGAACAGCATAGTTCTATATTAATATGCCCTTTCAAAGCTTTTGAAAGAACAGGAGAATAAGGAATAATTCATCTGTTATCAATTATAAAAGTTTACCTATTTCTTGCTCTTACAGCTGTTTTTCCCCTATTTCAGGTGATCTTCTTCTGTAGATAGGATATCCTGTCGCAATTTTTTGTTTCATTAATGAAGTGTTTTGTATAAACTTTCTCACATTGTCCATTTTTCAGACGTGGTACTTGTGGGTTCATTGTACCTCAAGGACTATGAACCATTTGTGTTGTGATAATCTCATATAGTTCAGGATCTAAGTTAGGATTAGGTATTTCAGCATTAATGATTGTATCAATGTCCAGATGATATATCCTGTTCTCTCGCCAATAGAAATTCTATGCATGTGATAAACCTCTCTTCTGCCAGTCAAGTGTAGGCTTTTGTTTTTTCAAAGATTTCACTATATCTTTGAGTTATTTCTTTGATTACTTTAGTTTGGACAGGAACGCCATCCTCGACCCCAAGGTGGATAAAGGACCGTGCGCTTATTCCAGAGCGGTCCCCTAACACTGCTTTGCAAGCCCTACTTAGGGATTTCGGTCTTGCAGACCTTTTCAGAGTGGATCACCCAAACCGCAAGATGTGGACATTGGTGCACAACTGGCCCTCCACCATGAACACAAGTTATCTAGACAGAGTGCTGGTTCGTAAAGTTGACCTCAGCTTTAAAGGTTGTCCATCGTTTCGTGGATTTAAGATACTCGGATCACAAACTGGTTCTCGTCTATATCAAACTGGGGAACAAAGTCAAAATGGCAGGCAATTGGAAGATAAATAAGTCTCTCATTGATAAGCCTGACTTCAGCCAAAAACTGACAGACCTGATCCAGCAAGAACTTGTTGGAAAAGTTGTCGATAGCAAGTGGTGGAAGGATCTCAAGTAGATGATCAGACCCCTCGCAGTACAGTACACGCAGAAACACGGTCTGGAAAACCAACAAAATGAAGTCCTACATGGCAGAGCTGCACGATCGATGACGGAAGGAGACCGTCGCGCTGCGGAACTGACCAGAGAGGAACTGAAACGTACAAGTGGTACGCGATATCAGGGTCAGGTGGTCAAAGCCAGACTGCAAAAGGTGTCACCCGAAGCCGTGAATATGGGCTCAGAACTGCGCAGAGAAGAGCTCCGACAAGGAGCAGATTGCTTCATCTAGAAAATCAGCGCCTCTGATGGACGGCTGCTACAATCGTCGGCTAGTATTTGTAGCAGTTTTAGAGAGCACTTTGAAGGCCCCTTTACCAGGGAACCTGATTTGTAAGAGTCATTTTACCAAGAGTATTTGGCTGGTTTCTTCAGATTAGAACCGCACGAGGAAGCTAGATGTGGAGGGCCGATAGCGGAAGGGGAAATCGTCGCTGCTCTGAGGCAAGTTGGTACCAACAAAGCTCCAGTACTCGACAGCCTCTCCTACGAAATTTACCTCAAAATGCCACACATGTTTGTTCATCTTTTGGCAATAGTTTTCAACAACTGGTTCAATCAGGGAAACATTCTTCAAAAGATAACCAGGCGTGTGATCACTTTGCTGAGGAAGAACAACCGCGACGGGAATAGAGTGGGGGACTTCCGGCCTATAACTCTCCTCAACACTGACCTGAAGATTCTGGCCAGGATCGTGACAAGCCGTCTGCATATTGTTGCGGACAAGCTTATCGGACCCGAACGGACATGCGCTGTGAGGTGAAGGACAATACAGGACAATCTGCACCTGATGCGCAACATCTTGGATGAGATAGATGATGTCATGGGTGCTGCACTCTTCAACCTAGATCAGTGAAAGGCCTTTGATCGTCGTTCCCTGAAAGTCACAGTAGAGGTGGCCAGGTTTGGCGAAGGATTTCGCACATGAATTGGACTCTTATACCAAGCCCCCAGTGACGTAGAACAAGTGAATGGCAAATGGTCCAAGCCGTTCGATATCACCATCGCTCTATGGCCTCATTCTGGAACCCTTCCTCCTGAAACTAAAAGCATTCCCCATTCCGAGGAATTAGGCTGTCAGGTGCGGTAACAGCCAGGGTGTCTGCATGTGCGGATGACATCACCATCTGCGTATCCAACTGCCGGGACATAGGCTGAGTATACGCAGAAATTCAGCACAGGGACCAAGAGCAATAGATCCAAGTCAGTCAGACTGAGGCTGGGAGAGTGTAAAAGGGGGACAATGTCGGCAACGTTTTAGTGAACAGATGGACCTGTTCACATCTTAGTGTGTGTTTGTGGTTCGGACCCGATCCCCAGCTCGAGAAAAACTGAGCAGAAGTACAATCCAAAGCTGACGATGGTGGATGCATGGCTCCGCAGTTGAAGGGCAGAGTAGAGGTGTGTGTCACTTACATCTACACTCTGATCCTGTTAGTCCTTCCCATCACAGCTCTTGGTGAGAGGACGACTAATGGTTTGCAAGAAAGTCTGCATTCAACGTCTACGTCTTGGAGGACTGGGTTTGCCACATCTAAGCTTTAAGTGGGCTTTGAAACTGGCTTTTCTGGGCCCTGCACTACAGCTGCCTTTCCAGAGCTTAGAGACGACTCCTTGTAATGTCCCGTAAAGGCGTGTTGCAGGCCCACCGAAGAAAACGCCTTTCTCCGCGAGTGCCGAGTGGTCCTGGCTATGACCCCATCAGCCGGTAAGCTCAACGAGAGTGAGGAAAACCCTTTATCATGGTCTGCTAAAAGAGACTGCCTGTGATCCCCTCTATCAGCGCTTTGTCCTGACAGAGGAGGAAATAGGGTCCAATTGGCACTGCATTCCAGGTACTGATTTCCTCACCAACTTTGAATTCTCGCTGACTTGGCACCTGGCACGAAATGCCATGCCAGCCAACGATATCAGGTTCAGGATGGAGGTAACTGAAGCGCCCAAGTGCGGGAGATGCAGTGATCCAGAAGAGACAGCCGAACAAGCCTTCTATCACTGGCCACAAGTCGATCCGCTATGGGAATATGTAGGGGATCTGGTCGCTCGCACGTAGCCTGAAAATGTCCTGTACCTCGACATCTATGTATGTGATAATCGGGCCTGAAACGCATAATGTTCCTTACACTCTTGGCCGTATCCAGAATGGTTGTGTGGATCACCAGGCAGCTCGTGGTCGTGCATGGAGATATGCTGTCTCACCATGACACGATTGCATTCTTCAAATGTCAGCTCAGGGTGAGGATAAGATCTAAAAAACAAAGACTAGCCAAGAAGGATTTCTGTGACAAATTGGTGAAAGAAACCAATTTTGGTAGGTGTGAAAAGTGCCAAACTAGGGTGGCCTTTTTTAGCTTTTGTGTATCGCCATGATACACTCCATCAGTATTCGAACAGCCTGGTAAAATGAAACCTGTCGTATGATCCGCCCCCCCATTACTACCGCTGTTCAGATCCCGCCGAGCCACTTGCATGTTAGTATTTATAGCATAAATGATGATCTGCGGGTATTAGAGTGGTAGGCGATGGATAAAAGAGACGGATGAAAGTAATATTGTTTGTGTGAATGGGTTGAATGAGAGAGTAGTTTAATTTAGTACTAAACTTTGCATAAGCCTTTCCCCCACTTTTTCCTGGCCTTGTGCCGAATTGAT